TGCATAACAAGTTTGTTTTGAGAATAAATTAGAAATTGTTCTTGTAAAATCATTATGTGACTAAATGAGAGAGAACAAACTATAATACTGCCTCTGCAGTCAGGTGACCTGTGATCGCAAAAAGTTTGTGAACCATTTTCTGAATAAGACCCGAAACATTGTCAGATTTTTCACTAAAGCCCTTAAAGTTGATAAAGCGGACATTAACGGCAAATGCTTCATTTGATTTAATTTGAAGGAACTGTAACATGATATTCCAAATCTTTCTGACCAATGGCAGGCCCATATACCAGTGAAACTTTAAAATGTTGAATCCAGTGCAAAAGTTAATTAATGTCAGTATTTCTACTTAAATTGTTGAACTAATATATGAGATAGACTCATTATATGCATAGCTAGACATTTATTTGTTATAATTGAGATATTTATGGCTTACAGTTGATGAAAACCCCACATTCAAAATCTCAGACAATTAGAATATTGTAAAAAGGTTAAATATTTTTGACTCGAAGTGTCACACTCTAATTAGCTAATGAATCCAAAACACCTGCAAACGGTTCCCGAGCCTTTAGATGGTCTCTCAGTCTAGGATGAAATACTGACTTTTGCACCATATTCTAATTTTTTTAGTTCCACCTGTGTCATTAAAATATTACCATTGGCCCCACGGAGACGTTATTTGATTTGAAATGAAAGTAATTATCTTGTGACGTATTTTTCAACCCTGAAATAAGATGTTTGGATTTGATGACATAATCCTGAATCATCAGCAAAGCAGCACAGAACATGAAGCAACACACACCAGCGGAGAACTGTCTATCAGAAGCACCGGTTGGAACACTGGCTATGTAAAGTGACTTGATGTAACTCTTGTTGTGAAATGGCCCTTCATAAATAAACTGAATTCAAATGAATAACAATGCTGTGCATGACAGGGTTGCAAGAACAACGTTGCCGCTCTCCTAAAAGAACATTATTGCTCATCTGCAGATTTATCAGGTGGACAAGCCAGAGAGCTATTGGAGACATGTCTTGTATATGGTTGAGACAAAAATAAACCCTTTTGGTTTCAATGTGAAGGCTTATGTTTAGAGAAAAAAAAATTCACTTAATTCTAGCATACAAATCCCTTCTACTGCAATGCATGGTGGTGGTAGTGTTGTGGATTGGGCCTGTGTTCCTGCATCAGGGCCAAAAAGGTTTTCATTACTGACAGAACAATGAACTTTGATTATTAAAAGCAATTACTAAAGGAAAAGGTCAGAACATCTGTCCTTGAACTGAATCACAAGACAAAGTCATCATTAAGCAAGACATGTGAGCACACAAGTCCTGACGTTCTTACAAGTGAGATGCTGTGGGTACGTAATGCTAAATCAAAATAAGAAATATTTGTGTTTCATTACTTATGTTTTCTTTGTATGAAAATCTGAGGATGGTTCAGTATATTGTAAGCAGAGTTGTAGACAGTCGTTGCAGGTTTACAAACTTTCAGGCACCACTGTAGGAATCCTGACCCTGAAACACGGCAGAGGTGAAACCATAGTTTGGGTTCTCTTTCTTCAACCTAGTCCTGTTATTTTTTCAGTTCTAGAATAATTCTTTTGAAATTGTGTAATTCTGTTTAAGACTGGACGTTTGTAGCTGATGTGGGATCCATAAAGGTTGATTATGTTGTAAATGCAAATTATTTTACCAACACATAGTTACTTAAAATGATTGTGTAAAACAAGTCAAGTTATTTGTATTCCTTTTATATATATTTTTTTTAACAGATGTGATGTTTCAGACAGGAACAGAAATATAGAACAATTCCAAAGGGTTTAAATCATGTATAAAGTTTTATACACACATCAACAACACCCTCTCAAAGCACCACAAAAATCCTTCCACCACTCCGACACAAACACCAGCTCAAAGGATTCACCAGATGTGGTTCTAATCCTTCCAGGATGTTGTCACAGTCAATGACTCCAGAAAGCTTAAGTCATGACTGAGTTTGCAATTAAAAACATGAAACAGTTCTTGAATTAAACATGAATGAAAATGTGCGTTGGCCTGTAAAGCTGCGCGTTTGTTACCAGCGTGCCTCAGCATCACTTATCTCATGCTGCTGAAGCAGCTCCTGCACATGTAGCCCTGCATCGATTTAACCGCTGAGTCAGCAAACTGTTCAAAATCTGGGGATTTTAACATTTATTTCTGCACACATTTTACTTCCCACAATAGAAAAACAGTTTATTAATATAAAAGGACACGTTGTAATAACTTAAATGTGGTAAACATGGGATCGTGCATCCTAGTTTAGATTCCATAGGTAAGTAAAGCTATGACTCATCACAGTGAGTCAGTCCGCTGCATTTATTTATTTATTTATTTACTGTTACAGTTGGAAGGTTCACTCACCTCCACATGCTGAGGATCAAACAAATGGACCAAAGAGAATTGGAGAGAGAGAAGGGTGTGGGGGGTGTGGGGGGTGGGGGGGGGGGGGGGGGCAATAAAGATTAGATGCAGGTAACACATCACTTCCAAATGTTTGGCTTCTACCGCTCCACAGCGGAGTGGATACTGTGACTCAAGCGTAACGGTCCAAATGTAAAGTTCAACTTGTGAACAATAAAAATTAGTTGAATGAAAAGACTCACCACAGTGCTGATTCATCTCTGAGCGAACGTAGTCCCTGATCTCATCCTCCTGCATTCAAAACAAAGAGGGTAAACGGGCATGTGTGTGTGTGTGTGTGGGCCATTTGGAGTCTTCCAACTGGGCCCTGTGGGAATGATGTCACACTGACCGTCATGCCAGCATCTCCTTTGTCTCCCTTGGTTCCATCTGGCCCGATCTCTCCCTACAACATGTACAGGTGTGAGTAAGCACACGCCCCGCAGCGAGACCTCCAGCAGAACCGTTCTATAGACTCAGATGCATCAGGGGAGCAGATGCAACATCCAAAATGGAAGGTTTAATAAATAATAAAGTCAAATCAAAGCGTGGGAAAAACAAAACAGGTTTATTTTATAAAAATCCTGAACAAAGTGGAATGACCTCAGTTTGGAGAAATACAGAGTAGCTTTGACCAGATTGACGAGCTAACAGCCGTTTGCAATGTGGACTGCTGCTTTTTTAAAACAACCCTAATCCCCCAATAATGTTCCGTTTATGTGAATAACCATTTTTTATTATTTATTTATCAGTTGTTTGAAAAGTTAACATCCAAATAGCTAGCTGGAGTACTTCTGGTACCTTCTGGTACCACTTGGTGTTTTGAAGACATCCAATTACAGAGTAACATGACACCAGAGGCAATGTTATGGTTTGTAAAATAGATGTTGCATCAACTATGAAGATTTAGAGAATGGAGCCGTTTTAGGACCACAGACTTGGTGACTTTGCAACTTGTTTTGTTAGGACTAGCTGATGGTCACAGCTAATCTGCGATTTTCCAAGTTGAAGTTAAAGCTAACCACAAGATATTATTAGTCTGTAACAATTCTACAGAAACCCAATTAGAAATATCCAAATAACACTTTTAACTTGTGAGATCCCCAAGAAAAGCAAACATTTCATTAATAAAATAGGTTATTGTACATTTCCGGCGTTCCAGCTGGAAACATTAGGCCTTTTGTTCTGACCAGAATATTTATTCTGCCCGAGTTTCCTTGTTTTAGACAGGAGGAACTATGGGAACTGGGTAGTTCTGACCTCCCCTGGGTACGTTCCATGAATGATAGGAAACTACAGGACAGCTCAAGAAAAGCTCCTGACCTGTTCTCCTCGCTCCCCTGGGATTCCCGGGATACCACGAGGACCGACCGTTGCAGGACCAACTGGACCTCTCTCCCCCTGACACACAAGTCCGAACAATATTCACTGAACAAAACATCATGACCACTGACAGGTGAAGTTAAATAACTGATTATAAAATACAAAGGAACCTGTAAGTGCGTGTTGTTCCAGTAAAAATGTGTCAGAACACGTGTCTAATGGCAAGTTTAGCTCCTTTTTAGGAATAAAATAGAATGGAAGCCAACTCCTGAGCCCCCTACTGGTTTCAGAGCAGTTTTAAATGCGGGCGTTGTTATCAGAAGAAGTCAGCAGCATCAGAAATGATCAAATGATGACCTTGTCTTCATGCATTTAAATTCTACTGAGTACTTCTATGCACTTCCTTAAGACTGAGATCCTCTGTGAGGAAGCATAACTCCTCTCTCTGCAGCATTTGGAAAAGCCATGTTGAGTGTTGGGTTTAAATGAGGATTTCTTCACGGATTAAAGATTATTCCTGTAACAAAATTTATTTTTGCAATGGTTTGCTCATGTTGAGGCCCTTCCGTCTTTTCTCAGATATGACCTTTGTGTTTGATCTGCTGAGAACAAAGATCCCTGACAGCGGTCCTCCCTATTGATCAAAGTTATTAGGTTTAGCAGGTTTTTTTTATTTTACTGCTTTTCAGTCTCCTCAGCAGAGCTCAAGGTCACATAAAGATAAGAGCATCCATCAAAGCGACTTGATGTGGCCCTTCACCCTCTCACCAGCTTTCTTTATTTACTTGATGATGTAGCAGACAAGCCAGGAATGCACAAAACCTTCAAACCGTCAATCATCATGAAGCAATAAATAAAAATATAAAACACAGCTGCAAATAGAGGAAGACATAAAGATATTATCTTTCTTTTCTGTTAGATCACCATAACTGGTGCACAGTCCAAACCAGCACTTAAACTGGTGGAACAAAAATCTTCAATAACTTATCATGAAGACAAAGTAGAGGAGTCACCTTCTGTCCCTGGAGCCCCTCTGGGCCTTTAGCACCAGTCGGACCTTGTGGGCCGGTCAGGCCGGGAGGCCCATCTCCTCCTCTGGGACCAGGAGGACCGGGCACACCAGGTGGTCCCTGTTTGAAGTGCAGACATCATTACATGTTTGTTTCATTGTGCGCCTCTGAGTGTGAGTGATGCTGCAGTGATGGTGTGTGAATCAGCGTGTGATCTGATAGGCTGATCTTTGTTTAGATTTGTATGTATGACGGCACGCAGCTGCTGCACAGGTGGAAGTTAGAAACTCACCCTATCACCTTTCTCTCCTTGCGTTCCCTTGGGTCCGGAAACCCCGTCATAACCACGTTCACCCTGCATCCACACAAAAATACAAGTTAGTTTGTGCATTTTGATCAACTTCCTGATATTTTAATGCTCTTCACAATACCTTAGGGCCAGCCAATCCCTCTTTTCCAGGTATTCCTGGAGCCCCGGCAGCTCCAACGTCACCCTGGAAAACAGACAGTATGTTTAACTGTGATGAATTTGTTTCTGATTCCTCTTTTGTTTCACTACTCTTACCTGTTCACCTTTTCTCCCTGGAAGCCCCGACCGTCCGTGAATACCAGCATCCCCCTGAGCACACAAAATGTTATCACAAATTACAATTTGACTCAAGTTTACATTTTTTCTCTTCACCATCCAGTTTTCGTTGGCTCACCTTTTCTCCTTTGGGTCCACTGGCTCCACAAAGGCCTTTGGGTCCACGATCACCCTGGAAACACAAAAGCTCATCACCGACAGGCGCATCAAATGACTCAGAGTGGACAAAAAAAAAACACCAAAGCAACGAAGCAAAGAGCCCATCCACGCGGACTGTTCTTTTACCTACCACTCAGAAAGCACTTACACCCACCATGAACATTAAACAACTTGCTGCAAGTTTCCATTAGCAGCGGGTAAGACGCAGACAGAAAGCATGAAAAGGTATGATAAGAGAGCCGGCTGCAGGGAGATCAGAGGAAGAGAGGAGGTGGTATCCATCCCTGACATGTGCATTTACACACATGGTGCTGGTGTCACGTTTCGTGTTTCACTACATTTTTCCTTTCATGATAAAGATTGATAGTTTAAATAAGTTACGACTGTTATTAGGTTGACCCAATTACAGAGTTATAGTAGGAGAATTTGTTTTTCTCTTGTATAATTCAACCTATGAAACCATCCATCATGGGACACACTTTAAAGCAGCCCTAGAGAGTTTTTAACACTTTAAGCTATTGCTTTAAAAATGCTTTCAGTGGTTCTTGAGCCTTAAACGTAACCAGCTTCACATTGGACAGCACTCTTCAGCCCTCTGCTGACCAGAAACTGCACCTAACAGTTTTGTGGTTCAGGTAGGAACTCTAGTGGGAGGTATCTACCGAACATGAAGGCTAGCAGTTAGCTTTTCAGTAAGCACAATAAGAGGATTCTAGCTGTTTTTTTTTGGGGGGGGGCATTATGGCAGACTCTGACTCTGATGTCGCGTCCTGCTCTCTCTCTCTCTCTCTCTCTCTCTCTCTCTCTCTCTCTCTCTCTCTCTCTCTCTCTCTCTCTCTCTCCCTCTCTCTCTAGCTGTTTTTACAGGACCATAGCCTTTGCAAAACGGGATTTGCCGTGGCACGCTGGGGAGGATTTTGGCATTTATAGTAGCAAAGCTGAAGCTAGAATAAACTGCCATCAGGCATCTCTCAGACCAAGACGGGATAAAGGGAGGTCCTTGGGCCGCCCCCCCGCATGTGACGTACAGGGTCGCGCATTCAGCGTCAGACGGAAGACACGTCAGACTGATGACATTTCTTATTCAGGACCTTTAGCTCGATGTGACCTGCTTTTGGTCCCATGTGACGCCCCGCTCAGCCGGTGTTTTCACCACTCTGTCGAACAGCTGGCTGTCTCTCACCGTCCCCGTAAAAAGGTGACTGGTCTGTTCGTCCGCTCGCACGGCCAAAAGCTCCATGGTCTCCGCGTTCCTCCAGCCGGCTTTCCTTCAGGCCGGCACTTGGCGCGCAGTACACGTTACTAACGCGACCACCCAGCGGGGGGGGGGGCTCCCACAGTCGCTCCAAAGGGATTAGCGGGGCTGACACGCGTTTAGCCGTCAGAGGCAAGGGGCTGATGCGGCAATATTACTACCAAGTGAGGTGGAACGAATGCCGCAGTATTCTCACAGCGTCATGCCGGCATGGCGCGTTTATAGACATACCATTGCGGTAATATTATGCCGATTTACCGGCATGGTGTGTCCTATAAAAGCAGCTTCTGAAACTGCTGTGTGTGCTCCTCACTGCAGGCTGTCCTTGTGCAGCTGCTGCTGCTAGAACAGCACGTAGTGAGTACATGGTGAGCTTTTACCCCCAGTGAGGCAGAAAATATCAAACCGGTCAGAAATTCACCTCAGCGTCTCATGAGGCGGAAAACTCAGTGGAAATCAGGCACACACGGCGAGGTATCTGCTGAGCAAACGGTCATTGGAGGCCGTTTGCTCAGCAGTTGTATGACAGGCTTAAAAAACTATATGTACGCTGATGGCCTCGAACACATCGAATGCTGTTCCACCCCTTCACGACTGCCTTACAGAACTGAGGAGATGGTTAGCTTCTAATCTTTTAAAATGGAAATGAGTCAAAAACAGAAGTGGTTCTTTTTGATCTACGCAACCCCTCACACCAACTCTCCATCTCTAATTTCTCTAGCATCACTCCCCAACAATGTATGACCAGCCTTGGGGTTAAATTGGATGCAGGTTTTTCAGAGGCCAAACATGTTTCTTTCAACTGCACCGCCTAGCTCGTCTCAAACCAATTTTAAAACAGCATCATTTAGAGTCTGTCATTCATGCTTTTATAACATCACGCCTGGACTTTGCTAACTTGATACCCATTGAGGTCCCTGCCTTGGCCCTTAACAGACTGCAGAAGATACAGAACGCAGCTGCCAGGTTTTAAACAAACACTAACCGAAGGCACCACATCACTAATGTCCATGCTCAATTACACTGGCTCCCAGTTCACTTTCAAGTAAGGTTCAAGGTGCTGACATTTGTCTTTAAACCCTTAAATGGTCTTTTCCCAGTTTATTTGTCAGACCTGATCCTCCACTATGTCTCTGTGCGCACCCTGAGGTCTGCCGAGCTCCTGTTACTTTGCATACCCACCATGAAGCACAACTCACAGGGGTAGTGGGCCTTGTTTGATGCCCCACACTTATGCCAGTTTCACACTGGAAGCATCAGCGGTGCGAAATGGCAGAGGAAATATTTACTTGCGAACTTCAAAGCCGTCCTTTTCACACCGGGAGAATCTTGGCAGCGGCACGGCTTCCTCGCTGTGCTCTTCGCTGGACTTGCGAGATCACACGATCCCTCGAGACTTCAGGTCACGGTTTGTTTATGCAATCCGCCATTAAACCAAAACGGAAGACATCATGTTTGATATCACTGTTTGATGTCATATATGATGTTGTTCCTCTCCACCACCAGAAATAAAGCCATGAATAACACACTGCTGCACTTCTGGAGCAATGCTGTGAGTAAATAAGCTGTTGGGTCACATGTAAGCTTCATATATATGAAATTGCATCGCTGTAGTACTTTTATTTTTAAATTTACCAGTGATTTTATACTGAAACTCTGTGTGACTTCCTGTCGAGCCCTATGTTAACTGCGGAAATTGACGCATCCCAGAAGCGGCACGTGGCAAACATAGAACCCGATCCTATTTTTGGCGGCACAGCGCGGCACGCTGCTTCTGGGACGCGCCTGGAAATTTCCGCGTCGCGGTTGGTTTGAAACACTCCCTAGACTATAATGGAGTCCGCGCCGCCGAAGCTTTCAGTGTGAAACTGGGGTTAGAACGCTCCACACCTTTCTGTCTGACAGGCACCATCCCTCACTCGCTTCAATTCACTGGTAAAGACCCACTTCTATGACATGGCATTTGGGCAGTGATTATTTATATCTTGCTCTATGTTTTATTGTTGTTTGTTTTAATCTGTTTTATTTACTGTATGTTAAGCCTACTTTTATTGTACAGCACTTTGTTCAGATCTCATGTTGTGTTTTTAATGTGCTTTAGAAATAAATATGGTATGGTAAGCGTTGCTTCAAGTAGTCTGATCCTCACTAGAAACCATAATTACCATCAGTAGATGTTATCATTCATTTCTTTTGCACCCTAATAAAGGTGTGTTTCAAAACTCTGCTCTAATTTTAGTGAAAAAACATCTCATCCAACTAGAATCCAGAAAATGTGTGATAACTCACCAGTAGGTCTTGAAAACCTACAGCAAACATAGTTGTCCAAACAAGGGCTGCATTCCATTAAGGAAAAGATCTGGGGTCTCATTTATCAAACATTGCGTACAATCCTTACTAAAACTGTACTTAAGCTCTGCAAAAAATATGTACTTACACCAAGTAGATTTGTGACCTATCAAACATGGAGTACGCACAGCTACAGAGATCTTCCCTGTACAAGTAGCGAGGGCACATAATTAATTGGGTCACAGTGACAGGACACACACTGTCACAGACGCATGACATTCTGTCTCAATCTGTCCACCTGCTGATATTCTGCATTCCGTATTCTGCGCTGCAGGCTGTGTGTGTATGTGTGAGTCTGCACGCATGTGTGTGTACGCGCATGCGTGTGTGTGTACGAGCGCGCATGTGTGTGTGGGGGGGTCTTGTTCTGTGTGAAAACGAAGCGGTACAAATGATAATGCAGCAGGATTTCATAATTTTACCCCTCTCAGCAGCAGCACTGCAGGTGCTCTCCATGTCCAAAATGCGCAGGTCCTTAGTCAACTTAAAGTTGCGCACATTTTTCCGCTAAGATTCCTTTCATAAATTCCAAAGTTTGCGTGGAAAGTTGCTTACGCAGTTTTCCGACCCCGTTTTGTGCGTAAGCAAGCTTGATAAATGAGGCCCCTGCTCATTAGCAGTCTTACAGAACAATCAGCATGTCCAACTGCAGAAGTGGAAAGCAGCCTTTGTCCCATGGGCCTAGATTTGGCATGGATGGAAGTGACATGTCCCTACCAATATCCAGTGATGTCTAAATAGTCCCCACCAATAATTTGACCGCCTCCGCTAAAGAAATAAACAAGCCTGTCAAATGTCTTGTTACCTCAGAGGTGAAGAGAGGGTTAAATGATGTTCTCTCCTCGAGTCCTAATATCACAACGCATATGGCTGGTGTGACTGGCTGCGCTTGTTGTCCCGTAAGACTCACGTTACAACATGCGCTGGTTAGCAGCGCCAAAGCTAGAAGGAAAATATTCTAAATCAAGACTCCTGTGCTTGCAATGTGACGTGAGTGACACATAGCGCCAAACGCGAGTGAGGATGGACGCTAAAAAGAAGAAGGTTGAAGACATAAGGAGCTATTTTCCAAAGAAACGTGCAAGTCATATATATGTATATATATATATATATATATATATATATATATATATATATATATATATATATATATAGATATAGAGATATATAGATATATAGATATATAGATATAGATATACAGATAGATAGATAGATAGATAGATAGATAGATAGATGATAGATAGATAGATAGATAGATAGATAGATAGATAGATAGATAGATAGATAGATAGATAGATAGATAGATAGATAGATAGATAGATAGATAGATAGATAAATAGATAGATAGAAAGATAGATAGATAGATAGATGATAGATGATAGATAGATAGATAGATAGATAGATAGATAGATAGATAGATAGATAGATAGATAGATAGATAGATAGATAGATAGATAGATAGATAGATAGATAGATAGATAGATAGATAGATAGATAGATAGATAGAGATATACACATACTGAATCATGGTTTGAATGTGTGGATAAAAAGTATTTAATCTACCTAAAATGAGTGGTGACCTTATATGCATTATAACATAGTCAGTGTTACAGTGTGGCTAATTGTATTATCTGGTCTATTTCTAAGGTAACTGGTGCAGCTGTAGCGAGCAATAGGAAGAGCGGCAATGAGAGTGACAACAATGAAGAACAATGTAGAAATGGAGATTGTCTGGACATTGAAAATAAGCCAAACTAGCATAATCCCAAATACGTCCCAGTTCAAACATTGTCTAGCAATACCCTTCATTTTCAGGAGAGGTGGTACAAAGAATATCCATGGCTTCATTATAGCCCCACAGTGAATGGAATTCTCTGTTTTTACTGTGAAAAAAACATACACTGTACAGAAAAGTACTATGTCCAAAAAGGCAGAGCCTGCATTCTCCTCAAAGGGGTTTACTAACTGGAAGAATGCTCTTGAAAATTTTGAACGCCACCAAAAATCTCAATCCCATCATTTTGCAGTCACAGTTTTTGCTCAAGACGCAGCCCCAATAGATTTGTTACTCAAGTGCCTTCATAATGACTGAAGGGAACTATAGACTTAACCACCTTTTTGTTGAATTTATTTTTATTTAACCTTTATTTAACCAGATGAGTTGATTGAGAACTCATTATCATTTACAACAGCGATCAGACCAAGAGGCAGCAGCAACAGACACATAGATAACTTTACACCAAAGAAAAACAGGTTAGATAAAATAAATACAAGATTTAAAAAAGATAAAAACAGACAAAGAACTGTTCTCATATATCAAAACAGACTTAAAACAGTCTTTAAGTACTCAGAAGCAGGAACATTGATCAAAAACTATTGATTGCAATGAATTATTGAAGGTAGATGATGGAATGTAGGTAGAGAGCTTCAGTGATTTTTGCAGCTCATTCCAGTCGTTGGAAGCAGCAAACTGGAATGAGGAGCGGCAAAAGGAGGTGCGAGCTTCGGGAATAACCGTGGAGATTAAGTTACTGGAACATAAACTGTGCTGGTTGTTGGAAGTGATGAGTAATGAGCGAAGATATGACTGGGTTTTACAGATGATTGTTTTGTATATGAACTGATACCAATGAAAGATTTAAAAGTCCCCACCAATGTCAAGAGGAAATCTACTCCAATGCGTTGTCCCCATGTTGCGACATTGGCCTTAAAAACCAAAGTTAGCACATGTAGCTTAGCCACAAAACTCCCTTATAGCTAGCTCTAAATATAAACATGTTTTATCTTAAATAATTGTATAAACACAAACTCACCACCATTATGGCTATTTGTACCAGATATCTCCCCTTTAGTAAATAATGTCACTAATCAGTTGACTCCTTAGGGTTGAGTACCCAATCCTTACATCTATGCCCTAATCTGACCTTGACAGTTTTAGTAACGGAAACAGAAAATGAAGTGAAACAATGTGGGAAATAAGTCTGCATAAAATCCTTATTTGATGTAAATCGTCCCAATACTGGGAGAACAATCAGTATTAATCCTCCACAGTCACACCAGTTTCATGCTATCAGCTAGCTATGACTCATCCCCCACTCATGACAAATTCTGTAAATGTGATAAGCAAACACACACACACACACACTGAAAATACCTTGATTCCTCTAACTCCTGCAACACCAACTTCACCCGTCTCCCCTTTACGGCCCAGTAGGCCATCTTTACCAGGTAAACCCTGAGAAGAGGAATGAAAACATATTTCTCATACAGAATGAATCTCAATGTAAACAAAACATCTGAAAACGCACCGATTCACCAGGTACTCCAGGTTCACCTGCTTCTCCCTGTAGACAGAAAACATTGAAACATCAAGTAGGTGCATAAGTGAAACCACTTCCTGTTGTAGCGGCAGACTGTTTTAATCACAATATTTCTGTAAGGGGACTTTCACTTGCTTTTTGTCCACCAGGACCACGGGCTCCTGGGAATCCAGTGGATCCACGTTCTCCAGGTTCTCCCCTCAGACCCTTAAAACAAACACAAACTGTAAAAGTTCCTGCTAATCAACAGAAAAGCAACAAACTAACTTATTTATGTTGCATCCTGACTGCTAGACGGCTAAAACAGCTGCAAATCTGGATTTATTTCACATCAGATGATTCATTTGAGTTATATAACCAACCCGGTGGCCTGAATGAACAAATATAAACTCCATTATTGACTTTACAGCCTACAAATGGTCACTAGATTGAATGAGGTAGAAAATACACCCACAAACAAATTCTTGAGTGCTGACAGATTCAGTGAATCGAGCCATCCATCTCCAAACCATTTACACAACAATCGATTCATCTTCAGGTTAATTCACCTGTTCTCCAGATGGTCCCTCTTGACCTTTCAACCCCTTCTCTCCTTGTGTACCCTTGGGTCCTCTGTCCCCCTGAGTGAATGGACAGCAAGACCCAACAGAGGTAAATGCATGTTACGAGTAAATACTTTAGCTGTAATAAGCAGTATGGTGCGTTCACTGACCGTTTCTCCTTTGTTGCCTTTTTCTCCCGGAGCTCCTCCCACCAACATCGTCTCCCCCTGTAAGGGACAGCACAGACGCTACTGTTGTTCCACCCACTACAGAAAAATAAAATAGTTTCATCTCCATACTATGATTTACTATAACATCTTAGCTCATCTGTATTCCATCTTTTCATAGATTATATATTCACTCTGCTGTCTGCAGAATGAGTCTGCGGGAAAACACGGACGGCAGATGAGTCTCCAGTCATTTCAAATTTACAGATAAATCAAACACACAAGCAAAGACAGGACAGTGGCAGAGCTTATCAGATGTTCATTTGCACAAACCTTTTCTCCTTTTTCCCCCTGCAGGCCTCCGTCTCCCTGTGCGGTTAAGAGGGACAGATGAGAAGAGCAAAACGTTTTATTCAGACATGTCAGTTTTCACTTGATCAGAACGCAGATGGGAAGCGCTTTGGGACAAAGAACTGGAAAAAAGGAATGACAGGACTCACCTTTTCTCCTCTAAGACCTCTGATCCCAGGGGGTCCCTGATGGACACGGACACACACACACACACACACACACACACACACACACACACACACACACACACACACACACACACACACACACACACCATTTAGCATTATTTTATAATGAAGTCAGCTACCAACATTGAATCAAAAGTTTGCAGCCTGATAAATAGCTGCTGGTTTCTGACACATTTTTCTTTAAAACAACACTGATAAGGTAGAAAAACACAAGAGATGACATGTTTACGCTCCACAAAACATACGATATCCTTGTGAAAGAGACTCATTTTGATTAAAATCGTAAGCTTCCTGCTTGCATGCTTGCCTTATTGTTCTACAAACACACTTCATCCTTTGACTTTGTCCTTTTCTTTTAATTTTTAATCAAATTTTAATTTGTGGGTCCTTTCCGTCATGTTGATTTTTAATGTTCTTGCTATTCTTGCTAAATTGAAAGCACACATTTGTGTGTGAAATGTGCTATATAAATAGAGCTGCCTTGCCTTTAACTGATGGCAAAGAAAAATAGACCTTGTAAGAAAACGTAGAGAGCTCAGTGGTAAGGGCTGTGTTGATCTGCATTCTGCTCTCAGGTTTAAAAAATAATAATAATAACACAGAAACTTTAGATATTTACCGTTGGTCCCCTCTCCCCATCCACGCCTGCTCGTCCGTCCTCGCCCTTAGAGGAGAAGTGCAAACACACCCGTGTTAGTTTCTATTATCTAAAGGTAAATTAACACAAGAATCTGAGCTCAGTATTATGATTGTGCAACCAGGTTTTTACCCTAGGCCCTGGATCTCCTCTCTCTCCTCTGGAACCAGGGATGCCAACTCCAACTTCCCCCTGGCAAGAAAAATAATATTATCCCCTGAATAAAAAGATGCGTTAATATTTGTGCAGCTAGAGAGAAATGGTGAGTGTCCGGAGGATTACCTTGTCCCCTTTGACTCCATTGGTACCGGGAGAACCCTACAAATCACAGAATTCAGATTGTTCATCTTTATGATTTAGATCACGTGTGTCAGACACAAGGCCCGCGGGCCGGATGTGGCCCGCAGAGCACTTTTATGTGGCCCGTGAGATATATATCAAAAATATATTAAAACTGACCCGCTGACCAATTTTACCGCAAAGACTACAACTCCCAAGATGTGTTAGGGCAGGGCCGAAGCGCCCCCTCCTTTGTGTTTTTTCCAGCGTCTGCTGTCGGTGTCTGCAGCTCCGCTGTCTCAGACAAACTAAACACTCCTTTCACTCAGCACCGAGTTTACTCAGCTATTTTCTGACGTTGAAGCCCAGAAACAGAGATTTTAACCGCTCAGTAATGTGTTCACGACTGAAGGAGAATGTTTTCCAACTAACTTCCAGACAGAGCTGACATAACTCCAGCGAGCAGCGACACGCTCAAACCAGCACGACTCTGTGGCTGCTGTAGTTTTTATTTTTCCTCCCCGACACACAACAACGCGGTCAAGCTGCTCAGACATTTTAAACAACACAAACCTATGTGAGCACCTGTTGTCATCTAATGTTGTCATTATTATGATGAAGATGAACAAAACAACAGGAGTCTCCTCCTCAGCTCAGATCAACCCCATGATGCAGGTATCTGGCTGGAACAGGTGAGCATCACAGTAAACCAGTGGAGCAAACTGAGCTTTAAATATGTTGGTTTTGTGCTCTTTTTCTGCTCCAAAACATGAAAGTTAACAGGTGAGATGTTGCATTTTCATTTAAGATAAAATGATATTTTTATTTTGTTGTTGGCCCGTGAGAAAAGATTTAACCTACAGTAAACAGGAAGTGGAAAGGTTGCAGATAGATGAATAGAATAGAAAATCTCTTTATTGTTCCTCAGTGGGGAAAGCTAGACACCACAGCAGCGATGACACTTATTACAGGAGAAAAAAGGAGAATAAAAAATAAGAAAAATGAATAAACAACAAGAAAACATAAATCCTGAATAGATTTTAAAAATGCTGAATATACCACAAGTAATGAATACCACTGATGCCTTTTATTTAAAACTGACTTGCTCGTGTGTAATTTGGTTATTCCACATTCAGTGTTAATGCAGAAATAAGTTGGTTTCCAAATTTAAAGGTTCAAAATTGCATATATGTTGATAAAGAAAATGTGCAAATTTGCCGTCACTTTTTGAAAAAATATTAAGTTTGGCCCGCGACTCCGTCCCAGATTTTCATTTCGGCCCAGTGTGAATTTGAGTTTGACACCCCTGAATTTTAGATGAAACTATAAAGAGTCATCAACTAAACAAAGCAACGTTAGTTTAATGTGGGAGCTGCTGTAAGAGGAGGAACTCACCGCCTCTCCAACTGGACCAGCAGGACCAGGAGGTCCAGGATTTCCTGCACGGCCTGCAAAACCCTGAAGTCCCTAAAACCAGAACCCGAAAGATTACAAATTCAACCTGAGGGACGGAAGAGATGGACAAAAGATGCAGCTCCACTGACCCGTTCTCCTGGGGGTCCAGGAGGTCCAGGTAGTCCGTTTTCTCCTCTTGTGCCAGGCAGTCCAGGGTCACCTGACTTTCCCAGTGGTCCTGGAGGACCAGCTGGGCCTGGAAGTCCTGGGTCTCCCTGAAACAACACAGCTTTGATCCTGAGCCACACCTGATTAGTATCAGACTGAAGAGATAACACATTGATGATCTTCTGCTGCAGCACGTGCTGCTGCTCACCTTCAGACCAGGAGGTCCAACACGACCGGGTGGACCCAACTGTCCTATTCCTTTCTCTCCCTGCAACACACACCTCCTCACTGTTGAAGTGTAATCTCTATAATTGGCGTGATTTAATCACGTAACACCTTACCTTGTCTCCTTTAGGTCCAGGAGACCCTTGTGGACCCTGCATGAAAAGAAAAAAGAAAGTTTGGTTTCTGAAAAGAATGACGGTAAACAAAACAAAACCAGACCGCACTTTCACGTTTAAAGGGAAATATTTTTATAGAGCAGCTTTTCATTGATCTAAAAATAAAATTTTATGTGAAACTATGAAAGAACTCTTGAGAAAATGATGAATTAAGAAGAAGAAGGAAGAAGAAGAAGAAGAAGAAGAAGAAGAAGAAGGAAGAAGAAGAAGAAAAGAAAGAAGAAGAAGAATTTTTTTCTTGGCATCATGGCAGAGCTTGAAAAGGTAAGAGAGTAATGTCTTTGGAGGAGAAGCAAAGAGCTAAAACCAGAGTGAATATTTGTGCAGCCTACACTAGTTAGAAGAAGTTAAATGACTGATGGTGACCTGGCTTTGTTGCTCCTGGACTTGTAAGTAATATTATCATAGGCGTCATTTTAACCGGGGACACCGGGGACATGTCCCTGGCAAAATTTGTAATTGGCAGCTGTGTCCCCCCCACTTTCAAAAAAGCCTGCTGATGAGGATTTTTGTTTTACCAGCTCAGATCTTTTACCAGGGGTCGGCAACCTGTTCCCATCAAAGAGCCATTATTACCCGTTTCCCACAGTAAAGAAAACACCGCAGCAGTCGCATCGTTGTGGGCGGGGCCTACCCTCAGACAGCAGAGAGCTGCTCACAACCAGGTGACAGCAGCCGGTACCATGGGCGTCGCACCCGTGGGGGATTCAACACCCACACTTTTCCAGCTGTTTTGCTCACCTCCACACCAGTCTGGTTTCTTTACGTCACACTCACTCTGTTTGCCTCATCTCCTTCTTCACCTCCCGCTTCTGACAGCCGATGTCGGGTTTCCAGGAGAGCAGGAGAGGGAGGGACGGAAGAGCTCGACTGAATAATTTTACATCTTGACATTAGCTGTACAAAGTCTGAGTTTGATAAAGTGAAGAACAACCATTTGCAGAGGTTTATAATAGGCGCGGCGCCAGGTTTTCATTTTTGGGTGGGCCACGGTAATTTTGGACGGACTTTAATAAGCAGTGACTTAGTGAAGCAGACAGGTCGCGCTAGGAAATTTAGTTTAAAAAGACGTCATAAATGTGTTCCCCCGTCATTTTTATTTATAAAATATGAAGTAAAAACTCACAATTTAATTTTCATTCATTTGTCATTAATATGTCGTCTACACCTGTGCGTTAAGTGGACCATCTTCCAGTAAACGCAAAGCATCCAGCCCACCTCTCCAAATGCGTAAAATGTGCATCAGCCGCTAGTTAGGCGTGCCGCGCGCTCCGTCAGCTATCGGCCCAGACGAGAGCAGAGCAACTAGAGAAAGAATAGAGGATAATTGTGTCTGGATGTGGATGGAGATTACATTTTACAGCAGCCTGATCATCATTTAAATACGTAAACCATCACCTGTCTTCTACTCCATGCTATCAGCATTATTTTAATTGGTGTGTGTGTGTGTGTGTGTGTGTGTGTGTGTGTGTGTGTGTGTGTGTGCGTGCGTGCGTGCGTGTGTGTGTGTGTGTGTGTGTGTGTGTGTGTGTGTTTTCCACTTCAAACACTGGTCTAACCAACCAGACCTGCGTGTCCAGTAACATATTAATGTTACAATTAAACAGTTTCACTTCATGTAGGCTAGGAACGTTTCACCTGCCGTGGCCCGACCGCTTCTACTCCACATAAACTTTGTGCGTGATCAAATGTCTCTACAGGTGCTTTCTGAGCTGAAGAGGCGACTGGATGCGTCATGCGTCTCCATATTGGAGACGGGAACAAGCGCTGTTCAGCCAAACTTTCATAATTTCATAAAAATAACATTTTTCCAAGTGACACATCCCTCAGAGAGACCGGGTTTCCAGACCGCTTCAGTGGGAGGAAATCAACGAACATCCTTGAGTTTATCCGTCAAAATAAAAAGTCAAATGGAAATATCTGTAACCTGTCATTTAACTGTTTTGCCTTCCTGTGAAGATTGTTGCAAAGAGAAACAATTAAACCTGATTAACCCCAGAGCCACGCGCACTGCGCTGTACGTCGTGACTGTAAATGAGGGGGAAACGATTTAATCGGATCCTTTTCTCTTCAACATGGTTTAATGTAAAGTTTCATTCAGTACAAACTTTAGTTACACCAATATAACGAGACAGAGCCTGGATTTGTATTCTGAACAGTTTAAACATGTTTAAAACGGAGACGTGCGTGACGCGTCTAAAATTCGCACCTGCTCTGCTATTATGGAAATTAAACTAACAAGGTGAATAACATCAAATTATTTTAGGCACAGACAACATCCCCCACACTTTTCAAAAGTTTGCAACACGCCTGGTCGCTCGTGTACGTCAAAGTTATCTTTCATAAAAAGATAATCAATAAAACGATTTATATAAAGTGGATCCAGAAGTTGTAGCCCGTCTCTGCCGACAATATTTTGATATTTTTCACCCTGTTGGTGGTTTTACTGAGCAGGTGCCACTTTTGTCACGCGATTCTTTTTAAAACATGTTTAGACTGTTCAGAATACAAATCCGGGCTCTGTCACGTTTGATTGTTGTAATTAAACTATGTAGGTGGGGAAGGTCAGAAAGCAGCTCAGAAGCGCCTATGATTACGCACAAGCGTGACGCGTCAACCCGGTCTCACAGTAAGACTGGGTTGGAACTGTTCAGGTTTACGCAGACAATCTTTACATTTAGAATTGGCATACAGATGTAAAATTAATGCAGTAAAATATAAAGCATTTTATTTAAATATCCATTCATTATTTTAAAAGTACAGAGAGCCGCATCAGATGGATGGAGGAGCCGCATGCGGCTCCAGATCCGCGGATTGCCGACCCCTGTGCTAGCCTACTTTATTGTCCCCAGCATTTTTTAAACCCCACTCAAGTGTATGGTTATTGTCCCCAGCAATTCTGACAACAAACTGACGCCCTTGAATATTATTTTTGTCCAACTGTGTGGATTCTTATACTTTGTTAGCACCATAGCAGGGGCTGGTTACTTACATCCTCACCAGAATCCCCTGGTTCACCAGATATGCCCTGTTAGAACAAACACACTGCTGTCATGGTGCTTTTTAAACATTAGTTTGTGATTTCAATCATCATCATCATCATCATCATCATCATCATCATCATCCTCACTCTTTCTCCTTTGATGCCAGCAGGGCCTTTGTCTCCCTTGTCACCCTGAATGTCAGAATGCAGATTTAGATATAAAACATTTAACACGTTGGTCTCATTTTGAGTCTTCTGATTGGTCCAGCTCACTTTTACTCCAGGAAGCCCTCGTTCTCCAGCTACACCTGGCTGCATAACACCAGGTGGACCCTGCATCAGAAGTCAGCTGAAGTGAGTGAATGGTTTGCTTTAAAGAAATAGCCTCAAGTCAACAGTGACTTACCATCCCTCCTTTTGGTCCAGGGGGTCCAGCCACAGCCTGTAAGTGAGCAGGAAGATGTAGAAAAGAATGGCTGTTATCTTGTTAATGAAAAGCAAATGCACACTTAAAAGTACAGAGCACTTCAACAGCCTTGTCATTATTTTCTCAGGAGCTTAAACATTAAAGCCTTTTTATCTTCAAGGACAGTAAATAAAAGTACTCTCATGACTCATTCATCACACTACAATGATTCAGAGAATTAGAGAAGTGCCAGTTTCACCCTGAGTTTGTCCCGTAAAAGTAAAGGATGGCTGTAGTATCCTTAAGTTACTGTCTTCAGCACTATCTGAGACGTGCACTTGGCTGTGAGGGTTCACTAACAAGAGCTGACGTTCTTGTGTGTGTGTGTGTGTGTGTGTGTGTGTGTGTGTGTGTGTGTGTGTGTGTGTGTGTGTGTGTGTGTGTGTGTGTGTGTGTGTTCATTTATTTAAATGCGTTTATTTTTATTTACATTTTATATGGTTGTATGCCTGCTATTGTGGAAATATCTTTCAGGTTATTATTATATCTAAAAGAAAACAATCTTTTTGTTTTAAGATGCAATCTAATAAATCAGCCTAAAATGCATCTCTAATTACATTAATAGTTACTAATTACATTTGTAGTTGACAAACAAAATATCTCTGAAACATGTTACAATAATTGATTTTCTTATTTGCTTAATTATTGTGGAATATTGAAAGTGGACTGATAAGCAAAACACTATTGTTATATATCAAATACACAGCATAAACATTATAAGTCTAGACTTTATAAGTTTTTAGACCTTAAGTCAAAGTTTAGAAAACATAAGAGTGGTTAACTTCTGAAAATGGTGCTGTTTACAACTGTGTGTGTGTGTGTGTGTGTGTGTGTGTGTGTGTGTGTGTGTGTGTGTGTGTGTGTGTGTGTGTGTGTGTGTGTGTGTGTGTGTGTGTGTGTGTGTGTGTGTGTGTGTGTGTGAGAGAGAGAGAGAGAGACAACAGAAGCTGCAGGGGGGTGCTGAGCAGATGCATCAGAGTTTCCCGATCGTTCATCAAACTCACTGATGGCATCAGCATGTTGCTGTACGAGGTACTGAACCTGAGAGCGTTAGCAATGGGAGTGGTGCTAGTCAGGACACGTGTTCTCACAACTCATGTCACTATCCTAAACAGCTGGACAGCAGGTGCAGAACAGGATCCTCACAAGGTAGGAAACATGTTTCACATTTATCAAGTCAAAACAGGCAAACATGCTTAAAACTGACGCAGTTAATCAATAATCTTTAACGAAAAGTAGTTTGGAAATGTAAGAATGAGTGTTAAACAAGCTTGTTTAACACTCATTCTTACATTTCCAAACTACTTTTTGATCCCAGCATTACAGCCCCACCCTCAGCTCCACCTCTCTTCCCTTTTGTGGAATTGTCTGGGCTTGACGAAACCTGTGACACGGTCAAAATGGCGGTGGTGGCCACCTCCCATTTCTCCTCAAAAACGTGTTATTGGGGTCTATGGAAACCCATTGTCCATATATGTATATGTCGATGAACCCCACCCTCTGAAACAGATACACAAACAAAGAAAAGATGGAAAAGATATTGGTTGTTAATATTAGCCCGGTTTTACTTCTCCGACCGATATGTTAAAATAAGACCAACATCAGCCAATTCCAACATCGAGGCCGATATATTGTGCATCCCTAACAGTAACATGCCCAGAGAGGTTTATTTACTGGAAGAAGCTTGTTTATGTGTCATAAAAACACGTGCGCTGGAATAACGAGCTCAAGCGGAACAGTTGTAAACAGTGATGCCAGTAACGTGTTAAAAAAGTAGCGCACTGCTCTAATATAACGTCATTTCTTGGTAACAACTAATCTAACGTGTTACTATATCCTTACTAGTAATCAAATTAAAGTTCTATTTCGTCTAGTCTTAGCCCTTAAGCTAGCTGCTATTGGAAGGATGATCTCCGCATCAGCCAATCATGAAGAGCTTAAATGTACGCCCACCAATAGTGGGCCCCCTCGTGGTATATAACCGCAGTGACCCCACTGCTCACCTCCTTTTTCTCTTCATGCCAAGCTTGAGAGCTTTATTAAAGAGCAAATATTATCTCAAAAGAGCAAATTATTCGAAGACGACTTACCAGCCATGTCCAGCGACACCAGACCCTGCCCGACCTGCCAGACGGGCTCCATTTCCAGCGGCGACCTGCACGCTAAGTGTGAGGTCTGTCTCGGGGCTCGCCACGCTGGCCTGGCCTTGACCCCGCAGGCCTCATGTTCTGTGCCGCTCTGCCCGTGGCGGAGAAGATTCGCCGGGTCGAGTACTTCACTCCCGCCGCCGACGAAGAATTTCCGGTGGCTGACTCGTACCCGCTGGACAAGGCTTTGGTTTTCTTCGACGCCGGTCAGGAGCCGGCTGGCTTCAACCGGCTGGATGACGTCACTGACAGCGAAAACTACGATGAGGCGGCGTCCCTCCTAGACATAACGGAGGTCGACGAGCTTCGCTCAGCGGGTCCTTCTGCCCCAGTGGCTTCTCGCTCCTCCCTGCCAGCAGTAAGAGCACTGCTCCAGGAGCTGCCCGCCATCATTTCTGCGTCAGCAGCCCACAAGGGGCTAGCTGTGCCAGAACCGGCCCTGCCTGAAGCGGATGATTTGGCGGGAATTTTCGGGGAAACTCAGACACGCTGTCCAGACCCTGTCTGGCCGCGCTTCCCCGCTGCTATGAGCTGCTGGTCTGCCGCCTTCTCCGAGCCTGCCAAGCTCAAGGCGCCAGTCTCCACATATGCGCCCATCACCAAGGTCGAGGGGTTTTCCGACCAAGGCTGGCCGTCCGTTCCTCCACTAGAGCCGGATTTGGCCTCGCTGTTCGGCGCCAAGAACCACCTCGCTGGCCCGCGAGCTGTTCCCGCTTCAAAACATGACCAGCTGCTGACGCGGCTCACCGACCGCGCACATCAGTGTGCCTTTCAGACCGGCGCTGCAGGGAATAACATCGCCCTTCTTGCCTTCGGCGTCTCCAAGATGATGGAGGAGCTGGAAGCTCCCGAGGAGTCGAAAGCCGTCATAACTAAGACTGCTGATGCCATCCTCAATCTGTGTGCTGCTGTGCTCACCGGTTCTGCTCGCATCGCTGCCTGGCAGACCCTCATCCAGCGAGCGATCTGGCTGAAGGCCCTGCCCTCCATTCCGGAACATCTGCAAAGGGAGATGCTGGATGGCCCCATCACCACCGATGTTCTGTTTGGTCCCCATCTTAGGGGCGTCATTGAGAGGGCTCAGAAGACGGCCGAACTATCGGCTACGGTGCGAGACCTGGTCCACCCTCGGTCAGCCTCGCACTCCGGCCGTTCAGCCAGAGGATGGGACGAACGGCGCGGAAGCTTCAGACGTCCAGCTGCACCGCCCGCTCCACGGAGCCGGCCTCCCGCTTCGGCTCCACATCAGCGGGACCAGCGAGATGGCGGACAACGGTTCCGGCGGGGCCAGCAGACGCCGTCTTGGCAGTCCCAGGTGCAGGAGCCTCGCCGAAAGCAGCCACGGAAGTGACTCTTTGGGGGGAATGTGTGTGTTACTGATTGTTCTGATGTTGTTGGTTTTGAAATAAAACCCAAAAAACGTCACTCAAAGAGCTCAATCCTACAGTCCTCCGCAGAATCCTCTGCCGAGTTTTCACACATGTTCCCCACACCAAGCACTGCTGCACGCACACATGTTCCTGCAGGTAGTCATAATACACGGCCAGCCGTAAGGGTGCGCTCCATTTGCGCTCTGGCCCCAGCATCCGGCCAGGCCCAACTCGTCCCGCTCTCCCCACGCCGTTGGGTGGGGCGGGATGTCATGTCGCTGTCTCGACCACGCGCGGCGGCACAGTGCGCGGCTCCATCCGCTAGCACTCTGTCGCCCCCGTGCACAGGCCCGGCTTCCACTCGTCCTTCACTCTCGGACTCCACGCTCCGCGGTGTGGACCAGCCTGTTCCAGCTGTTTCGCACTTGCCCTTTCGAGCGCAGCCCTCCATGGGTCGCCCCCAGTTCTCTGGTACGGGCGACGGCGGTAAGGGCGCATGCACAACCCTCAGACGTTGTTCACGTGACCGCGCACACGCGTCCATTGTCGGAACGCGCGCACGAGTGGCGCCGCCTTTGCATCATGAGCAAATGGATTTCGGACACCATTCATTGCGGTCACACACTTCATTTTCAGGCCACTCCACCTCCCTTCAACGGGATCGTGGAGACGACGTTCACATCACAAGTACAGTCTCAGGCGCTAGAGCTGGAGCTGCGGGAACTTCTGTCCAAGGACGCTATTTCACGAGTCCCTCGCGGACAAGAGCTCTCGGGTTTCTACTCCCGCTACTTCGTAGTACCGAAGAAGTCGGGAGGAATGAGGCCGATTCTCGACCTGTCCCTGTTCAACTGCTCCATAGCAGTAATGCATTTCCGCATGTTAACGATGAGACAAGTCCTGGAATATGTGCGCCCCGGGGATTGGTTCACGTCAATCGACCTGAAAGACGCATACTTCCACATACCAGTAGTTCCAAACCACCGGAAGTTTCTGCGTTTTTCGTTCAAGGGAGTTCAATATCAGTTCAATCGCCTCCCTTTCGGCTACTCGCTAGCCCCGCGCACTTTCTCCAAATGTCTGGAGACCGCGCTGCAGCCACTGCGCACGGAGGGAATGAGGGTCTTATTTTACCTGGACGATCTTCTCCTGTGCGCTCGGTCCGAGGACGAGGCGTCACAGCAAACCAGGAGGTTGACAGAGCATCTGTCAACCCTAGGGTTTTCTATAAACTGGGAAAAGAGCTCCATCCTTCCATCCCAGTCGATTGTGTATCTCGGGGTGGAGTTGGACGCCTCCCTAATGAGAGCACGTTTGTCGCCTGCAAGAGCGGCAGATCTCTCCACGGTGATCTCCCGTGTTCAACCCCGCAAGATCGTGAGAGCCCGGTTAGTCATGAAACTCCTGGGCATGATGTCCGCAGCCCATTCAGTAGTGCCGCTAGGTTTGCTGCGCACGA